GGACACATTCACACACACTTAATCGTTCGCTAAGAGATTAGTAGCGATTAAGGGACCGTAAGCTCGCTCGTTTTGGCAATAATTTAGGATCTTGTCGCATGAGAGATCAGCCTGGACCCCTAAATTATTGTACTCTTCGCCGCGAGAGCGGTAAGAACTTAGTAATGATTAGCTAGGCTCAATTAAATTAAATTCATGTGATTAGGCCTGTTCTGCTAGAAATCTGGTTAACCCCGGAATCAATTCCTGTTCCCTTTGTCGTTAATTAAGGAAAACCAAATCTTTTTATTCGCTCATTAGCATTAGTTTTAGTTTAATCAATCAATCAATCTCGCACAATTGCACTTTTATTTTATTTATTTCTTTTTAATCGTTGAATTTAGTTAATCCTTATTTCCCTTTTGTCCGTCCCTGTGGAGACGATACTCGTACTTTCCACCACTTTTCTACAACCATTTTTAGTGCGAGAAAACACTCATCAGGGTCCCATTAATAATAACAGAAAAATGAGTAGCTTTAAGATGGGCCAAAACAATTTTCACAAAAGAATTAGCAAAACCAAATTTTCTCAATATTCCATCCAAGAAAGACCAGGATAATCTGTCAAAGGCCTTGGGAAACATCTCCTGGGAAACAAGGATGTGATCAGCAATATCTCTACCTTGCATAAAATCAGCCTGTTCCATAGAGATAAGCTTAGGAAGAATTTTGTTGATCCTGGAAGCCAAAATCCTTGTACAAACCTTACTAATGAAGTTAGATAGACTTATAGGCCTGAAGTCAGCAAAAGATGATACCTTATCTCCTTCAGGAATAAGTAAAATAAGAGAAATAGCCATAGCTTTAGGTATGTGGTTACCCATAAAGAAATCATGTACAGCCCTCACCACATCCATGTCCACAATGTCCCAACAAGTCCTGAAGAAAACCCCATTATATCCATCTGGACCAGCAGCTCCATCTTTATTCAGACCCCAGACTGATAGTTTAACTTCATCCAAAGATGGAATTTTCATAATTATATCATTATCAATGTCTTCCACTAACATTGGAATATATTGCAGGAGCTCCTCAACATCTTCCACAGGTTCATCAGCAAATATTCCTAAAAAATAATCCTCAGCAGCTCTAGCAATAGAAGCAGGATCACTACAAAGAATACCTACAGAATCTTTTATAGAAGATAAGGTTTGCATCCTTCTTTTAACATTCACATAGTTATGAAAAAAGCTGGTGTTAGCGTCCCCTTCTTTCATGCATCCAGTTAATACGAGCTCGTTGTTTCCAGAAAACCTTTTCTTGATGGTGTTTAGAAAATAGCAAAGCCTGTTTAAATGACTAGCTTTCCCTATTAATATCAGAGGGATCAGATTCATATAGATTTTCAGCTTTGCTAACTTCCTCTTCCAGCTTAGAAATATCCTTAAAAATATTACCAAAAGTATTCTTATTCCACTCCTTGAGAAACTTTTTAAGATACTGTAATTTATCATACAAACCTCTCATTCCACCCCCTGTATTGCATGATTGCCAAGCATTCTGAACAACATCCATAAACTGTGGATTGGAGATCCACATGTTTTGGAATCTGAAAGGCTTAGGCCCCCTAAGAGATTGATTTTTGAATTGAACCAGGATGGGAGCATGATCTGAGGAGGCCTTGCTCAAGTGATTGAGCTGAATGGAATAAAAAATGTCCAGAAAAGGAGAGTTAAACAGTACTCTATCCAACCTGTGCCAGAGTCTACCCTTACTTCTAATACCAGACCAAGTGAAAGGGCTACCATGGAAGGGAAGGTCCAGTAGCTCACATTTCTCAATACATTCTTTAAACTCATTCATACTAATCAAAGGAGGCATAGCTAGACCTTTGTGTTCACTATAATAGGCAATAGTGTTGAAGTCACCACCCACCATCCATACCTCCTTATTAGAACTGGCCCATCTTTCGAGAAAGGACCAAAGAGGCCTTCTTTGAATGTAAGATTGATTCCAATAAATTGCGCTTTGTTCCCATTGAATAGTGTATCAAAGTAAGACCTCCACCTTTCTTTTATCTCCCCATCCTTCATTAGTACTCTTTGATCGACATCCTTCGCACACTTAACTTTTCTTATATCTTAAGTTCTACGGTCACGAAGACGAGCAAGTCTGTAAATATCTTTTTCTCCTTCCTTAGAGTCCAATTGTGCATACAATTCCTTGTACACTTTTCCTCTTGCTTCCTTTACAGCTTTCTTTGCTCTTCTTCTAGCCTCCTTGTACTCCTCTATGTTCTCGTCGCTCCAACTTTTGCCCAATTTCTTATAGCATTGCCTTTTGAGTGTAATATTGAGTGTAATTCCCTAGCTAGGAGTAACGAGTATGACTTTAGAAGTTGTGCATTCTAGAAAAGTTCTAATTTGGACTTATGAACACTAAACTAAAGTTATATGAGTAGGCTTAGTTAAATACTTGCCTATTTGATGAAATTGTTATGTGCTAGAATATTAGAATAAGAATATTATTCTACTAGAGTGTAGAATAGGAACCTACCGATACTCCAAATTTTGAGTACAACGGGGGTGGATACTAAGTGACCGTACATTTGGATTTAATTGCTCCATGCACGAGTTGGAAAACGACGTCGTGGTTTTGAGTTGTGACTTTGGGCCGATGGTGATGGGGTCTTAGCAACCTTGTCAGGATAGACAAGCCGAGCGGACAAGTCGACTTCTCAGGTATTTTAAATTCTGACTATGACTTGTGCCGATGGTGTTGGGGTCTTAGCAACCTCGTCAGGATGGACAAGCCGAGCGGATTAGTCATTTTCCGGGAATGTGCATGTCCTTACTCAACCGGTCAATAAGTCCCTATTACGTTTTGCCGTGCTAGGCATATTGATGCGGTAGAGTCGGATGTTGTTATGTGAAATATTTTTCCTATAAATACAACTAGCATAAACACCGAGTGTTTTACATAGTTATCTTGAATAGGCTATGTGGTTGATTGTTACATGACTTAAGATATTACTATAAAACATTTTTTACAAAACCCTTCTGGTGAGATGTTGTGTATACTAAGTAGGAGGATCTTGGCAGTATCACAAGACATCTTGAGTCCTATCTCTTCTTTGGATCCGTCCGAGACTCTATTGGGTTCATATAGCTTGGGAATCATATTTTATTTTATTAGTTGCTCATGAGGCTATTCTTCATCATAAAATTCTAATTTGGGCCTGCATGCTTGTATGTCATTTAATTCTATCAAACTGTTACCCAATTACTTTCCTGTTGTATTATGAAGCATTTGCTCAATAAATTATCCTTATCTTCATATGGAATTACTTAGTGTGATGATATTAAATGCCTTGCACGATCGGACGAGAGGACTAAGAAGGGTATTCTTATAGGGTTGTGCGGCGGTTGTTGACGATGTCGGTCGGTATGGGGCGTGACATAAAGAACAGAGGATAATATTTAAATTTGGTGAGCATTCAAAGGAAGGCGTTGTAAAATGTTTAGAAATGACAAATTTGGATATTTTATCATTTTAATCATATCACGAACACAGTTTCATCCTTGTAATACAGGATGAACATATGACTCATTTTATCATTGCAAACACAGTTGTAGAAACATACATGAGATGATTCAATAACGTAACAAACCTAACTAGTTTAAATATTATACTAATTTTTTCCCTAAAATATTACTCCCTTCGTCCCAAAATAAATGCTTGTTTGCTTTAACACAAGTTTTAAGAAAGTGGTTGAAAAAGTAAAAGTTGTGGTTGAGATTTAATTAGAAAAATGTGAATTGATATGAGCCACACATTTTTGTCAAAAGAAGAAACAAGACAATTATTATATATTGGGACGGACAAAAAAGGAAAGCAGGAAAGTTATTTCAGGACTGAGGGAGTACTAATAAAAAAGTGATGGACAAAAATGTTACTTGGTAACTTTTAGTGACTATAATTGTGTTCAAAGTTTACATCATAGTAAACTACATCATATTAACTTTGAATACAATTATAGTCACTAAATTTACCAAGTCACATCTTTGTCCATCACTTTTCCATGAGTAGTATTAGTGAAATTTTATCTATTATTAAATAGGCGCTTGTTGAATTCTATCAATATATCAACTATATTTATTAATGAAAAGGAGAAAATCAAAACAATATATTCAGAAATCACTATATATAACATAATATATTTCTCTTCATATATATACATATTTACTGCTACATGATATTTCCACTATACCATCACAATTCACAACATTAATGATCGATATTATATTTTTTTAATTTGTAAGCATAAGCTTTTGCTAGGTACATTTTTCTTGAAGCAGTCCCAATTCACAATAATACGACATACTAATATAACATAAAATAAAATGGAGTCTTGTATTATTGTGTGACTTGACACAATAATACGACATACTAATATAACATAAAATAAAATGGAGTCTTGTATTCAACCCCCATTGGCGGTTCTCTTAAATACTTGAGGATGTTCAACGTATGATCTTGTCCAATTTCCGTCAAAGGTTCGCGTAAATATACGAGGTTGTCCTGCGGGAAATGTTTCTTTCCAATTCGGGTGTTCAATAAAATAAGCACATTCGCTGAGAGGAGGAAGGATAAAGTTTTAATGTTATGTACTATCTAAATGATAATAAAGCAAATAGATAAGTTATCAGCTATCCCCTATATATAAGTAATTAATACGAAGTATACTGTTAATAAGCTACTCTGTATATATTAGCCATGCGTTCATACACAATTTTATTAGTTACCAACTAGGTTATTAGCTTTTATTTCCAACAAAACCTATTAATCGTCCATTTGAAACTAATAAGAACAATTTGTAGTTAGATTATGTATGCATGAACCTTAGTATAATTGTCGCATAACATTACTCAAACATAAACATGCATTTTTCTTTTGGGAACTAAGCTAGAAATCGTCACATATCATATCATTGATTAAAAGTTAAACATGCATGTAATTACCTTCTTATCCGCCGCGCAAGGATAGAATTGAGCTTCTCGTCATTAATTGGAGTAGTGAAGTATCCCTTAGTTATTTCTTTATCTGGTAGTTTATACAATGCTTCACGATCTTTCACAAAAGCCATGTCCCTAAACGTAACGTGCGTGCAAGAAAAGGTGTCAATCCTACTGGCCGGTAGACACATATAATTTGGATCAAAAGAGAACATTTGAATAAACCCAGAGCGTTACATTTGAGAATTGCGCCTTACCAGTTACCATGAACAAAAAATTGTACAACGAACTATATAATCAACAAAAAAAGATTTATATATGGCTCTTTCATGTCACAAATATATGAAGCTAAAATATGTCATGTATGCTTGGTATATTAAATAAACTAGGTAGAAAATACATAGGTTTTGATTTTACCAATGACATGGAGCAATAACGAATTTATCGGATATAGTTTCATATGTCTCTAGCAATCTCATATCTTTCCCATACGGGGCGTTTAGTCGAGCTTTTCTAACGGTTGCATCTGGATATGTTGTTATATCAAAGGTTGCGGGAAATATTGATCCAGTGGCAGTTTCCACCTATTATCAATAATGTGAATATATACAAATTAGTAATGTACACATATATGTTAAGAGTTAGATGTTTTTAAGTGGACTAGTTTCAGTCCCAGATCAGACAAAACCAAAATTAAACACACCAGGTCAGATCAAATTTTGAAAATTGTAAAGTACACATAAAACAGATATCTATCAGACTAGTTTAAATTAGATCACACCAGAATATTAGTCCAAATAAAATAACCCTAACAGTGAAACACGTACATACATACGTATATATAAATGAACTAATTAATAATTATTACCAGGAAACCACCGAACATAGCACTTGCATTTCCTTGTTCATCATGTATGGTATTGCGATCAAGTATATGTAACGTTTTAATACTGAATCTTTTATTGCTCTTACAAAGAAATTGAATTATCTTTTCACAAAGTTCAACAGAAATTCCTTCGATACGACCAGCATTATTTGGTGCTGTATTTTGACCATTGATTAAATGTACCTGCACATAATATCACACATGCCACCTTAATTTGCAAAGTCAATTCCCATATAATTTATTTAGAAACTTTCTGTGTCGGCGTGTTGCATGAAGGAATGGGCAAATGCAAAACCGGATAAAATTAAATCATGATTTAATATAAAAACAAGTGCATGAAGAGTTTTTAAACGGTTTCTGTAGAATTTTCAAAACCGAGAGACACTCTTTCCTGATTGTTTCCATGTTTCATTAGAAACTTTTGTTAAATTTTGATTACATACTTTAAATTTTGATTTCATTAGAAATAATTGTGTTAGCAAATTAAATTAGATCACGTGAGTGCACACATATACAGTATAGTACACGAATATAATGAAGGTGTATACTACCTCCGTTCTCTTTTAGTTGCAACGTTGAACTTTTTGCATTATTCACATATTTTACTTTGACTATATTTATTTATTAATGTATCATAAAAAAACAAAATATTACTCGTATTAAATTCTTCTCATTCTAAATTTTCAAAATACATAGTATGAATTTTTTAAAATTTTTAACTAATAAGGAATACTCCGTAAAAGATATTAATGGTCAAACTTGTGCATTGACAAACGTGAAAAATGGACTGTTGCAACTAAAAAAGAACGGACGAAGTATATGTATGTAATGGATTATGTATAATACATCCAAAATTTCATCGCTCTCTTGATCAATAACGGATGATAACATCTGAGTAAGGCCATTATCAATAACTCTTGGCAAATCCATATGGGAAACAGAGATCCTACATCCAATATTATAGATCAAATTAGACATTATTAGCTAGATAGACTGATTTTTAACCATTTAAAAAATGGGTACATTACTTACAATCCACTTTTAGGGTTTCGTATGACCACACCAACACAACCTCCCTGCCCATCAGTGCCAATCACCTGCCGTTTAATTTTCACATGTCATCAATAGGCGTAAATTGCATATTATATTCAGCCGGTTTATTGTACATGCATATTTTTTGTAACCACGAGTACACATGTCTGTGAACACGTTATTTTTTTTGTCTTTAAATAGTCCGTTCAAAGATAAAAAAAAATGCTCACAAACGTCTGTAAACATGTTTTGTCCCGATGTGCACAGTGCACATGTGGCATAATAGATAGCGACATAATTAAAAATTAGCTAATAAATTATCTCTCTACTTATTTGAATGATTTTATACAATTTTGGTAAGTTATTCTCCACAATGTCAAGAAGACCATTTAGATGCTGACATTGTTGTTGACATTGCTGAGAAAAACTTACCAAACTTGTATAAAATCATTTAAATAAGGAGTGAGATAATTTATTTGCTAATATTTATGTGGCTATCTCTCATGTCACATATACACCATGCACATTCCAGTATTGTGGAGATGCTCTGAACATACATATATACAACAATGTGGATCGTCATTAATTTGTCCGATTATGGATGGATATACGAAGTATATAATTGCACAGTTATTGCCAATAATTAAGATAATTAATTAACTTACATCGACAAGGGAAGGATCCACAGTTGCATATTCCCTTTGGGCAATATAGACACATTTAGTTTCTCTCGTCACAAGAAAATCAGAATCACGAGAAAGAATCAAATCCCCACTCGAGATAGAAGGATATGTAGCAGCTATAGATTTCAAATATGGATCATTCATAAAAGACATCAAGATATCCCTTGCCTGCAACGTCATTACAAAAAAAGAATAGATTCCTCATTTACTTCATTATCCATGAAATTATATTAATTACTTTATTAAATAAGGAAATAAATAAATAAATAAATAAATAAATAAATAAATAAATAAATAAATAAATAAATAAATAAATAAATAAATAAATAAATAAATAAATAAATAAATAAATAAATAAATAAATAAATAAATAAATAAATAAATAAATAAATAAATAAATAAATAAATAAATAAATAAATAAATAAATAAATAAATAAATAAATAAATAAATAAATAAATAAATAAATAAATAAATAAATAAATAAATAAATAAATAAATAAATAAATAAATAAATAAATAAATAAATAAATAAATAAATAAATAAATAAATAAATAAATAAATAAATAAATAAATAAATAAATAAATAAATAAATAAATAAATAAATAAATAAATAAATAAATAAATAAATAAATAAATAAATAAATAAATAAATAAATAAATAAATAAATAAATAAATAAATAAATAAATAAATAATAGCCTCATAAGAAAGTCAAAAACAACATTTTAATTACTCTGAAATTTCACATATCCCCCCTTTGTAATTCTTAAATCAAAATTGACGCAGAGAAGTTGTCCGCATATATACTAAAATCCATTTTTTCCTTTCTCATTTTCATTTTCATTTTCATTTTCATTTTCATTTCTACTATTTTTCTTTGTTTCTTTTCACACAAACAAAACCGCATATCACTTCTTCTTTTTTACCACAAAACAACTCCTGTTTATAGCACACACAAATCAAACCTCCATTTTTTCCTATTACAAAATGGAAAGTGTAAATAATATTGCTTTTTCCTACAATGTAGATTTATTATTTTGGTTGCAGAATACCATGTAAACTTCATACAATTTGAAGCATGTTCTTTACGAGATAAATGTGTCACTCTCACACCTTGACATGAAAAAGAATTTGTAAAATTTGTATTGATTTGGGTACAAAAAATTGATAATAATGAGTATGGTATGAGCATACATACACATTAACACACCCACACCCACACAAATTAATTAATCTATGTAAAAGTAAACTAGCTATATAGATAATAAGAGTACTTAATAATAATAATAGTAGTAGTAGTAGTAGTAGTAGTAGTAGTAGTAGTAGTAGTAATAATAATAATAATAATAATAATAATAATAATAATAATAATAATAATAATAATAATAATAATAATAATAATAATAATAATAATAATAATAATAATAATAATAATAATAATAATAATAATAATAATAATAATAATAATAATAATAATAATAATAATAATAATAATAATAATAATAATAATAATAATAATAATAATAATAATAATAATAATAATAATAATAATAATAATAATAATAATAATAATAATAATAATAATAATAATAATAATAATAATAATAATAATAATAATAATAATAATAATAATAATAATAATAATAATAATAATAACAACAACAACAACAACAACAACAACAACAACAACAACAACAACAACAACAACAACAACAACAACAACAACAACAACAACAACAACAACAACAACAACAACAACAACAACAACAACAACAACAACAACAACAACAACAACAACAACAACAACAACAACAACAACAACAACAACAACAACAACAACAACAACAACAACAACAACAACAACAACAACAACAACAACAACAACAACAACAACAACAACAACAACAACAACAACAACAACAACAACAACAACAACAACAACAACAACAACAACAACAACAACAACAACAACAACAACAACAACAACAACAACAACAACAACAACAACAACAACAACAACAACAACAACAACAACAACAACAACAACAACAACAACAACAACAACAACAACAACAACAACAACAACAACAACAACAACAACAACAACAACAACAACAACAACAACAACAACAACAACAACAACAACAACAACAACAACAACAACAACAACAACAACAACAACAACAACAACAACAACAACAACAACAACAACAACAACAACAACAACAACAACAACAACAACAACAACAACAACAACAACAACAACAACAACAACAACAACAACAACAACAACAACAACAACAACAACAACAACAACAACAACAACAACAACAACAACAACAACAACAACAACAACAACAACAACAACAACAACAACAACAACAACAACAACAACAACAACAACAACAACAACAACAACAACAACAACAACAACAACAACAACAACAACAACAACAACAACAACAACAACAACAACAACAACAACAACAACAACAACAACAACAACAACAACAACAACAACAACAACAACAACAACAACAACAACAACAACAACAACAACAACAACAACAACAACAACAACAACAACAACAACAACAACAACAACAACAACAACAACAACAACAACAACAACAACAACAACAACAACAACAACAACAACAACAACAACAACAACAACAACAACAACAACAACAACAACAACAACAACAACAACAACAACAACAACAACAACAACAACAACAACAACAACAACAACAACAACAACAACAACAACAACAACAACAACAACAACAACAACAACAACAACAACAACAACAACAACAACAACAACAACAACAACAACAACAACAACAACAACAACAACAACAACAACAACAACAACAACAACAACAACAACAACAACAACAACAACAACAACAACAACAACAACAACAACAACAACAACAACAACAACAACAACAACAACAACAACAACAACAACAACAACAACAACAACAACAACAACAACAACAACAACAACAACAACAACAACAACAACAACAACAACAACAACAACAACAACAACAACAACAACAACAACAACAACAACAACAACAACAACAACAACAACAACAACAACAACAACAACAACAACAACAACAACAACAACAACAACAACAACAACAACAACAACAACAACAACAACAACAACAACAACAACAACAACAACAACAACAACAACAACAACAACAACAACAACAACAACAACAACAACAACAACAACAACAACAACAACAACAACAACAACAACAACAACAACAACAACAACAACAACAACAACAACAACAACAACAACAACAACAACAAGAACAACAACAAGAACAATAACAATAACAATAACAATAACAACAATAATAACAATAATAACAATAA